AGCAGGAAGCTCTGAAATTTTAGGTAGCTGGATAGCAACATAAAGCTCTTAAACACTTACCATCACCTTCAAGCCTTTCTGCTTTCTTCTTCCTGATACAATAAATAAGCAAAATCGCGAAGATGACTAGGAAGATTGCACCTCCTGCTATGCCTGAGATGAGATAAAGGTCCAGCTGGCCTACTTAAGGGAATGAAAGAAGATATTAGAGAGAATGAAATAACTTTCACAATGTCTACCTAGATTTCTGTATTTTCTTCCATTGGCTATAAAGGCAGCCCCAGTGAGAACCCACCCTTTACCTTTTCTCTGTACACAGCAGAAAGTTGCTGGTCCTCATTGTGGAGAATTTTGATTGTTCCCTGACGGATTCAAGTTCTTCAGAAAATGGAAACCAGAGCATTCATGTGTGCCAGCTCATCTTATTTAAATTACCACAAATGCCCTGTTCCTGCTAGCAATGGGCCCTTTTAACAACAACAAGCATCCAGGCAGTGCTCAGCATCTAATAAAAATAAAATTTTTAAGCATTTCCTACTAAGCTGGAAACACTGTGACTAGTTTGCTTCATAGTATTTTGGTACTTCCTCTTCAGTTTTTGGCTATATGCAAATTAAAGGAAAAGAACTGTGAAAAGGAAAAAAACATAACCAAATATTCCACAGCCTCATAATGAGTGTTCGGTTTGCCCAGTGAGCAAAAATTCATATGAGTGTTCCTTATTTTGGCCAGATAAGGTTTGCTGGACACTAGCCTTCCTTCGCCACCTCCTGCTTGGGCTGTCCTGGCATTTGGTGCTCGTGCTCCAGCACAGGTGCCATGGAGCCAAAACCAGCAGAAGGGCACCTTCCTCAGCTCCTTGGGGGACAAAGCTGGGCGTACACACAGAGGGCAAAGAGTGATGACACCAAAGTCAAGATGTCTACAGTATAAAGGCCACCACCAGCCTAGGCTGCCCCAGTGGAAAAGAAGATGAATACCCTCAGTGATGTGTTCTTCTTACCTGTTTTAGCTGTCAGTGATACATCAAGGTGCATTTTGCCCTTTCCGTGCCTGTTTCTCCCACCTAACTACAGGGTGAGCCCAGGCAGATTCACGCATGGTTACAACTATGTGAAAAGTTAGCTGAGCTGAAGCCCATCTGAAGCATGCCTTGTCTGCTAAAGGTTAAAATTCAAGGTGATAGGCCTCCAATGCAGCACCAGATGTTCATGGAGGGCAGCAGGGTTGGAAGGGGGTTTGACTGCAATCTGGGTTTTTTTAATCTACTATGGAGCTGACAGAGTCCTGACACCACACAGGAAGGTTTGAAGGAGTTTAGTTTGCATAGGAAGGGTAGTGCTACATGGTTTTAGTGGTTTTTTGGTGTCTGAGAAATGCTATATTTGTACCTTAAAGATCAGTGTGGCAAACCTTTCATTTCTTTAACAAAGATTTGAGGAAAAACAAACTCTCTCACCCAGCTCAGCCTGTGAAAGAACAACAGTTCTCAAGGGTGAGAAGAAGTGAAATGGAAATATCTAGCTGATGGCTAATGCCTGCCTACACCAACAATGCAGGCAGCATTGGGATGGCCAGGTTCAGCCAGCATTTCCTCCAACATTTAAGACTACGGTCCCTTAAACGGACCTAATTCAGCAGCCTGTTTCCACACCTGGCTTCAAAGCCCATGCCACATCCCATTCCCCTGCACCCCAGCCCCTTCCCAATGCTGGCACCAACGGGACTGTGCAGCCCATCAGGTCAGGCGGCTCATGCAGCAGAAAACAACCTTATTTTTGACTCTTTTAGACATCAAGGGGATCCTTCAGGAGGCAAGGGCTGTACAGGAGAGCAGAGGCCACTCTGTCCCTCAGCTATTTGCCCTTCAGTCAGCCTCAGCAGACCTTGGATCGCTACAGTAAGGCCTCTACATCTTAAGGCTTGCTCACTCCCTTTTCACATTGTGGGCTGGCCTTTGGACTTGGACTTTCCCTAAATTCGCTATGGCAGAAATAGCTGGAAATTGGAAATACTGAGACAGCTCCCATGAGCCCCCCACTCTCCACTACCTCTAGTAGGAATCTAGAGCAAGAGAGTGCTTTTTACTCACAGTTAAGTGGGATGAACCCAAGCACAGCAAATTCAAGGACTTTTCCCCAATACTGCACTGGAAATCTGAACTTTGAACTGAACGCCACAGCCAGTGCCATACCAGTATGATCTGTCCTTGGTTTTGCTTTAATTTTCAAAACTTTTACAGGGGAAGCAATGATTTCTTTTGCCTATCTAATAATTTTCAGCGTGACTCTGCCCATTTAAAATGCAATTCCTTCTGTTATTTTGCTGCTTCTGTGGTTTAGAAAGATGACGCTTCAAGTGAATAAGAAAACCCATGGTACATTTGAGGCATGCTCATCTGAGATATGCAACCCCAAAGCTCAGCTAAGTTTTCCATGACCTCCCTCCTGATTTCTAGGCCAAGCTGGAGACTCTCCTTGTGAGAGCACCCATCCATATCCACAGGTAGTGAGCAACCACCACCTTCATAGGTATGACAGTGGAGAGGAGAAAAATAACATGCAACTGATTTCACCACCATGAGGATGTAAAATCAAGAGCAAATCCCCTGAAAACTGTGCCATGGCTTCATATACATAGAAGAAGATCCCAAGGCATATTTTCCAAAAACAAGCTGTTAATTTATGTAGTGGTAGCCTGGATGGTTTTATACTATCTCACTTAAGTCAACTTTTTGTCTTTGGACTGGTTGACCGAAGTCACCCTTTGGGAAGCATCATTAGTTTTAAAGGAATAAAGGAGAAAAAAAATAGGGGGAAAGCACTTTCTCCCTTTTGCAGACTGCTGGGTGCAATTAAAACGTTTTCAGGCCCTTCTCCCTGCTTTCTCCTTTACTTCATTGGTCTACCACTAGTGGTGGTTGATACCACTTGAGTCTGTCAGGATACGTCTGGCAACTTTTGGAAGAAAAGTCAGCAGTGATGGAGGGGACAGAAAAAATGACAGGATGAGCAAGAATCTCTCTCTCATTCGTTCACGCCTCAGCCAGCCTGATCGTGCTGGTAGGCTGCAGTTTCCTCTAGAAGGCTTGACCTCCAGTAGAAGCAGCATTGCAGTGTGCCTCAGGGGCCTCCCTGCCACCCACAAGTCTCTGGACTCCAGAAAAGCCTCTCATCCTCTTCCAGCAACCTCCAAGCCTCACTGAGCATGGGGTAAAACACCATTGGCACCAGGAGAAGAGGAAGAGTGTGGCCCACCTCACATCCCACTGCCCTCAGCTTGGCTATCAGAGCAGGGAGGCCATAAAGGTAGCAGTGGGGCAGGCAACAGCAGGGTGGGAAGGGGGAGACGTGACAAGGCTAGAGAATGCCAAGCAGAAAACACAACTTGCAGCATCAGCTCCCAGGAACTGCGACAGCATTAGGCTCACAATACAGGGTACCAGGAACCGTCAGTGCCTCTGGCACTTGGACCAGTCCTACAGATATGTGCCACTGCATCAGGCTTTGTGAGTTCGCCTTAACATATTTTCGCAAAAATAGATTTTTTTACCTGAGCACTTAATTACTTTTTCAGCCATTTTTTTGCTGACTTGGTTCTTAACAACACATGTGAATGTCCCAGAATACCGTGTGTGCAATTCCAACCTTGACGCATTCTTTTGGATTTTTTTGCTTTTATCTTGAGTTAGTTCCATTAGAAATGTTTCATTTTTAGCCTTCTGTTTCAATTCACACTTGACAGACAGAGTTTTATTCAGGCATTCAGCACTGAGGATTGGCTGAGGGACAGGCTCTGAAAAAGAAGAGAAGGGACAAGCATGTCTGAGATGGTTTCTTCTTTTGAAAAACCCCCATTATTAAGCAGAAGAGACAATTAGACTCCAATAAGGAGTAAGGGAATAACACCAGCTAATGTGACCAGAGAAGAATGAAGAGCAGATTAGAACACTGCTACAGAAGTAACATGGCAATAATAAAGAGAATCATAGAATGGTTTGGGTTGGAAGGGACCTTAAAGATCATCCAGTCCAACCCCCCTGCCATGGGCAGGGACACCTCCCACCAGACCAGGTTGCTCAAAGCTCTGTCCAACCTGGCCTTGAACACTTCCAGGGAGGGGGCATCCACAACTTCCCTGGGCAACCTGCATTGCGGTATATTAGCCTACATATTTGGACTAGCAAAGCAGGGCTGCACCAACATGGCTGGACTACTTTCAAGCTGAGCCTGGCTCTCAGCCAGCCAGGCAGGCGAGGGGAGGAAGTTGTGTTCTTGGGGGAGGCAGCAAATGGGAGAGACTCGGAGCCACAGCCTCCTCCAACTTCAGCCCCAGTGTTTTGGTGCAAATGAAGTCAGCTCTGATCTGCCTGTGCCCATCAGGAGAGCTTTCCTTCAAGACAGGGCAAACAGCTACTGACGATGCTTTATGTACTACCAAAGGTACTCAGCTAGCATGACAGCCACAGCATGAAAACCCATCCAAACAGAACAGAAAATGCAAAAGAGACACCTCTTAGATCTCAATGAGATTATGACAGAGAGAACTGATTTCTGTGTCTTTCTATGTTCTTTGTAGCTATCAAACAGCTAGCTACATTTAGGTTCCAGAGTCTTTATTACTGGTGGCACTGAAAGAGTCAGAAAAGCTTACAGGGCTTTCCTCAACTTGGGGCAAGTGGCAGGCACATCAGATGGAAAAGAAAATAATTTCTACCTTTTAAACCAGGCAAACAAAAACATGCCAAGGCCACTTCTATCTTTGGGCAGTGTAAGTTATAGAGAGCATAAATTTTACAGCCAGTAAGGGTTGCTTGTAGCAAATGCAGTCTAGGTTCACGCCGTGACATCAGCAGCCACCCTTTCCTCTTCTGCATGCTGTAACCTATCATTCAGGCAAGCACCCCAGTGTGAAACACTAGAGCCAGGGTCCTGGTGATGGAGTTGTGTGATGATATAATCTAAACTTTTTCTTTTTTTTAACAACTGTTTGTCCAACCCTAGTAACAAAGTATAAACTGGGTGACAAATGACTCCAGCACTCAACAGTTACTTAAGGACTTTACTTCCAAAACCGCTATCAGAGTAAGGCAACCTCTCTGCTGCACAGTGGATGAAATGGCACAGCACATAGCTAAGTTGCAACTTTAACCTGAAATTGAACCCAAGATGCCCCAATGACAGCTCAGTGGCTTAAAGCATGAGTAAGTAGCGTCAGGCCCTGATGACTTCCTGAATCTGTAGACAGTTTGCAGCAATAATTCCCAAAGTACTGAGACACCCTCACTGCTCAGCAGTCTGTCAGCCATGGGGCCTTCCCACTGCACAGAAACCCTGCTAAAGTCATTCCAGCTTTCATTGCTGTCTCATCAAGGCAGCATTCCTGTAGTGCCAGCTGGTCCTCACAGACTCAGGAGGCTGTCAGAGCTGTGCGTGCTGGCTGAAGAAGGACAGAGAAAAATCATCCTCTTGCTGGGGGAAAAAACCAAACATGCTGCCCTACAACTTAGAGGTCTAGAGAGGTGACAGCAGCTGCGAAGGAGCAGATAGCTATCTCCATCTTCCCTACTCATCCAAAAAGCTTTGGGTTGCTACCACTCCCATCTCTCAGAACAAGACAGAGCACAGGAATGGAGGCTGCCTTCATGCTTTGAATCCCCCAGCTGAAATCCCCAGGCATGTGCTTAAGTGTGCTTTGAACAGCACAATCTTCGTGTTTGTTGTGCTATGCTATGCAAGGATAGGGTGCAAGAGTCTTCTTTCCCTGAAAATTCAGCTCCTGTTCTGGTGTATCTCAGGGGAGATGACTGCTGGCTATTTTTTATGTTAGAGCAAAAATGGAGTGGGACCGCATTGCCTAAATACAGGCACTAAGTGCCACCTGGGGTCCTGAGCTCTCCTCAGGCGGATGGCAGATGCAACACAAGGTGCTCACCTTGCTGAAGCAGTAGCTAGAGACCAAAAGTTGTAACTCAGTGCCCATAAAATAACACCAGAGGTGCCAGAAGTACACAGTGCCTCAGCCACAGGCGTGCCTCACGCAGGTGGCTGTGCCACCTTGAGAGGTTTCTGGAAGCAGGGCACACACAGAAACCTGGACTGACAAAGGCGGGGGGAGCAGAAAGAAGCAGGGGAACAGAGGGCATGAGTAGAAGAAAGAGAAAAGAGCAACACACTGCTGTCAGTGGCAGGAGGACAGAGGTACATCTCACAGAAGTCCCCCCAAAACAGAAAGGGGGACAGTGAGTAGGAAAGGCTGTAGGAGAGAGCAGGAATACCAGGACTTATTCAGCTATGCTGGGAATGGTATGAGAAGAGCAAAAACTCACCCTGAACGATCAACATTGTATCTGCTTCTGTCATCAATTTTCCATCCTGCTGATAAACAATCACCGTGTACTGTCCACTGTCTTCTTTCACCAGCCTTTCTATTTGCAGAGTCCCATTCAGGAGTATCTTACACCGGCACTGGTCCTTGTTCACGTAGTACTTAACTTTCCTATCTTTTATCTGAAGCAGCCTTGTTCTGTTTCTCAGCCACGTTGCATCATAGATGCTCCCAGCAGCAGTGATGCTGAGAAGAGCCGACTCATTCACGGCCATGTAAATCCATTTGCTGTCAGAGCCTGTGGAGGGAAGCACAACCAGCCCATCAGCATGCCTCCAGCAGCCACAATGGTGACCCAAAAGGTTGTCACTTGCTGCCCTCTCAGAGTTGCCTAAGCCTCTCTGATGCTGTTTTCTTTCCTTGCTCCAAAGCACCCCTTGATCATCCATTAGATGTCAGTCCCCAGTTTAATTATGACAAGTGAGGAAGCTGAGAGTCTGGCTTTCAAAAGCTCTCTTTATGCTCTGGCTGACTTTTTTGGAAGGATTTTGGATGCCAAGATTCATGGTTGCCTGTGAACTTCACTCTTCCAAATAAAAGGTTGCTTTGGTGTGTTTTGTAACATAGCATGGGCTGGCACTCAGAGCACCCATCACTGCAGATGGCAAGAACACAAACTAGTAGTGGCCCTGGATGGTAGGATCAGTTCAGCAGTACCAGTGATGGCAATAATAATAACAATGGTGGCCCATGTCAAGCAGTGATTGAAGGTAAGGCCCTGAACTGGAGACAGACCCAGCTACCAGCTTGCAGTGCCCCCTCCTCACCCATCCTGGGCACTTGCCCCACTGGAATATATCCACTTGATTTTTCAAGCACAGGATCACGGTGAGGCAAGTAAAGTGGGGAGAAACAAACAGCTAACCACATCCTGTGAACTGATCAGGCACTGGAGACATCAAGAGATAAGCAAAGGCCAAAAAAATTATTTTCTCTTTGCAGGTCTCCTTTGATGACAGGTTCCCTGTCCAGGACAGGTAAGAGTAGGTGCTTCCCAAAGGTGCTACCGAGACTGTGCAGCAGTTAGCGTGTGGCTGCTGAAGGTGATATTCAGGAAAGCCAGGGCTGCTAAACCTCAATCATGTTACTGCCTGTGGAGATGATGGACTCTTCAGCAGCCTTTGCAATGCCCACCTCTGGTGAACAGGGGCTTCTGAGCACGACGTTTGTCGGGAGGTCACTTCCAGTAAGGTGCTGTCTCCACTCCACTTATAACTTAAGTGGCAGGTGGAAAATTGGCACAAGGAGGTAGAAAAGTGCTCACAAGTGTCAGGTGGGATCAGCTCACTGATAACTGAATGTGCACTCAGAGACACAGCCTGTTTCATACCTCATTTTCTTATGTTCATTCCTCTTCAATTTACAGGATGAAGCCAATCGGCAGAAGGGGATTTCTTTTCACATCACCAGATAGAGCTGATTCTGCTCTAATTTTATGTATTTTAAGCGCATTTACCCCACAAAGAGAAAGACTATGTTTATGCATATTTTTGTTACAGTCCTCCCTTCTTGGTATCTAGGACAATGATAAACTATATCACAGAGGGGACACTGAAATCCAGTTGCTATTTCATGAAACTAACGATATTAGAGACAATCAAAGAATTAAAATAGTGTGCCCTTGCAACAAGAAAATCAATACTGAAGTGCTTGTGGCAATTCACCCCCAGTCTAAGGAGAGGCTGTTATTTCTCTATTGCATTTCTTTCAAGGTATTTGATGAATCTAATGAAATCTGTGACTGAATCAAACAGTCTTGGAAGCATCTATCCTCTACATAGATGATACTACAGATTATACCCAAATATTTGAATTCTGATACTTTTTTCTGCTCAGGTATGCACAGGTATTTAGAGTAGTAAAAGGATGTCTCTGCATAATAGATACCATCATTTGTTTTTTCTCTCTGGAAGAATAAGTCTAAGTTTTCAGGGTTAATTCAATGGCATCTCTATGGACAGAACACCTAGACACATCTCTGAATGTTTATCTGCTCTCCATAGTCTTGCTAATGGAGAGCTGAGTAATCCACACAAATGATGCTAAAAATCTGTTTAGCTAATGAAATAACATTTCTGTAAACACCAACTGAAATGAACTCCAAGGCACAGAAAGATCTGATCTGGCAGCATAGAGCTCACATGCAGTCACACAAAAGAGTTAAAAGGAAAACCTATAATAGAAGTAAGGAAGTCTTTGACACAAGTTTTCCATTCAAGGGAATGATCTTCATTTCTGCTGGGGAAGATGTTTTATATGTCATGTACCATAAAAACCCCCACAAGACCGTTATTTGTCTATTAATTTTTTCCTGGAGGAAAAGAAAAGCATTAAACAGCCATACATACAATCTATAGTGGAATGAACTGAAAAAAATGGATGACTGTATTGTCTCCATCTCTTATAACCTTCTCTAATCTATGAGTTAACACCTTAATTAAGTTTCTAGGTTAATATTTTTAAAATAATGAGAGCAATAATACACAAAATATAAAATATGTATGTATTTGCTTGCTGTTTTCACATCCTAGACTTCTTCAGCTCCACTGAAGACTCAGATATAAAACTTTTTCAGTTAATATTTATGGAAGAATATAATTTGCACTTTCAAAAGATTTGGTCATCTCTGATAAGAAAAGGAAATTACATGTGATAATGCACCATGAACTAGATCTCTAATGTAGTACAAGCTACCTCAAGGGCAGAAAGCAAACCGAATGCTGACATTTCTCATTATACATGTGTCAAATTAAGGCTTATTAACTTAACCCCAAATCTGTTTACAGCTTATTATTATAACTGGAATAGGAAACTCAGATTCTGCCCTCCCCCAGCTGAAAATTAAATCAAATAATAACAGCACTAATCCAAAGGTCTTCATTAACTGGGAAAGGGATAGTTTCCTATCAGTAACATCCCACCAACTTGTAAATGGTTTAAAATGCAATTTTAACGCTAGCCTGAAAAAAAGCAAAAAAAGGTAAGAAGAACTCACATTTTACACTGGGAAATAAAAGCAGCAAGCACTTGACTAGGAAAATCCTCCTAAAATTCATTTTCAGAGTCAAAAAATCCAGTGTTGCCTTGTCTAATGATAGCTGCTGGCAGGTGAAAGGATTTTGTGCTGTGAGCAAGTGGCTGTGGGACGTGTCGGTACAGCCCTTGTGCCCTCCTCCCCTCCTCCAGCTCTCACCCTAGCACTTCTCGTTTCTAGCACAGGCACAAAAAAACACAGGCAATAAATACCTCTCGACAGGGGGGGGAAGGTGGTCTATCAGGATGGGCACAATTAGCAGTGACAAGGAGAAGGCACACTAAAACCCAGGAATGCTCCTTCTCCTTGAGGTTGGTCTACCCAGCTAGAGGGCCAGCTGGGACCCTCATCCTCTTCAGTGTTCACCTGAAGAGTTCAATTCCAGCATCCACATGCCACCATCCTAGTGGGATCAATGTGGTTTTTGAGGTGAGGGGGTTGATGGGAATCCTTCTGCTCGCCCATAGCCTCAGCAACAGCGAGGGGAGAGAAAGCCCAAGACCCCCAGCAGGGAGCAGGTAACCAATGGCTGTTGGACAATGTGTAGAAAGGAGACACAATTCTCTTGGAAACCATCAGGATCAGCTTTGCATCAATGTTTGATCTATGAGGGGCTGGCCTGTGCCATGTGAATGTGTCCTGCAGGCATGGCCAGATATTTGAGCAAGATGCAAAAGAGGGATGAGCTTGAAAGGGGATGAAAACGTGGCTGTGGTCTAGCCCGAAACCAGCCCTGAAGCTGGTTGGTGTGGGGAAGATGGTGAGGAAAGAAGCTGGGAGGAGGCATGAAAATTAAGTCCAAAAATGCATGAGAAGCTAATAAAACCCCCTTATTCCCGATTCCAATATGAAACAGATGGGGTGGCCAGGATTTTGAAATGCATCATCCCCAGCACAATCCCTCTGCTACAGCTACCACTGCAGTCTTCCTGCTTTTTATCACAGATGGAGACAAAAAAGGAAGACAGAAGAAAAGCTGTGGCACAGGAGATGTACAATATTAGAGAATCTTTCTCATTCATTCATGTCGTTCTTCTTTCTTTAAGTTATGGGAAGGTCTTGTAAGACTCCTTTCCTTCTCCAGCTTCATTGTCTTTTAACTGGTACTAACACCGGTAAAAAAAAAATCTCTTTCGGCACTAAAAGATAAAAAGTTACCTGAGGTAAAATGCACTAAGATCACAGTATTGCTGTCTCTGCGCATCGCAGGAAAACATAGCTTTTCTTCCTCATTTTTGTTATTGTTTCCTTACAAAGAACGCACAAGGGAGGCACATGCAAAAGGAGAGAGGAAGCAACAGCAGCAAACCATTTCTGTGCCTAACCTCTGTCATCTGTGGAGAAAAACAAGCGGAGGGCAGGGGCTGATGTGCCCAGGCATTTCCCCAGCCAAGCAGCCTGTGCTGGCAGCGCTGGCCCTGGGGGGCTGTGGGGACCTCTCTTGCTGGCCACGCTGGCAGGAACATGCAAGGTCTGCACACTTGGACACATCTGCTTCCAGCTCAAGCACCTACAGGGCTTTGGGCAAAGACAGCAACCCCAATCTTTCCTGCCTTTTTTTCCCCCACTGGGTCCATAAAGCAGAGCAGAGGGAAGCATGCTGAAACCACTGCCCACTCTCTGCCCAACCTTGTCACACTTCTTCCTCAAGGCAACATCCCTCAAAGCCACCACCTGCTTCCAGTGTACCCCTGCACTTTGTTTGTCAGCATGCTTAGTTTGCTAATGCACTGGGGTAGGGACCATCCTCTGCGCACACACACAGCCTGCTCGGTACATCCTGCTTGCTGAATACAGAAATGGGGATTGGTACAAACGAAATACAAATGGAAAATTGCGCATGAAGGAGAGAGAGAAGAGCGAGAAAGCTCCACAGCAGCAGAACAAGGCTTAAAAGGACACTCTGTATTCATAATGAAGGCCACTACTTCCACGTAATCAATTTGTCACACCCAGATGCTTGCACTCTTGTAAAATCACAGCTGAAATGACTCAAACTGGAAGCCCCTATGCTCCAACAGACCAGTTATAGCACATCAAACATGACATCGTTTTTACTGTTAGAGAAACAAGTAAACAGGAGCAAGAAACTACTCCTGAAGAACATAAAACTTCTGTTCAAAAATGAGTTTGCTGTGAACAATGAAGAGGTACTCAGAAGAGGCAGTGACGGCTCAATAGCTGAAGTCTCCTGAACACTGTGCATCACAGAAGTGACATCAGGCCTAGGTATTTCTGAGCACTTGGGTCCGTGTGCACAAAATCAACTTACTAAGAGATTTTGTGTAACAAAAGCACAGCCAAGCCAGCAAAGGGGCACACCACCCATCTGCAGCAAGGATTTGCCATGAGATCCTGGTGTGTGCATGGTCCAACCCACCAAACAGCCCCTTTTCTAACCAGCATCGGAAACCTCCTGCACCATCAGACCCAGCTGGACAAGAAGAAAGCACCCTGGGTCTTCAACCTCAGCCTTCCCATGAGATGAGAAGCAGGGAAATGACAATATCCTTGCAACTTTACCTTCCCTCTCTTGAAAGGCAAGATAATGCCATGCTGCAGTCCTGACTGGGCTTCGATCCCTATTTTAAAAGAAGGAAGGGATTTTCTAGATGTTACTGGGAGAGAACTACTGCTGCGCTAACATCTCTGTTACCCCCACAAGAGAAGGCATTAAGAAGAGGGTGTCTGAGGGCAAATGGGTACCTCTGGAAAGCATAGCAACTTTGGGCTACTGCCATGGAGGAGCTCTAGGCATGTACCTTCAGCAACGTGGTGTCAGGTGCATGTCATGAAAACAGTGACAGCAGGGAGCACTGGCAGAGGAGCCCCCTCACCAACCAAGTAGTGGGACAGGCATGGCGAGGGCTATTGCTCGCAGCCATGTGCTGCCACAGCTCAAACGCTGTCCCAGGTTGTGCTGGGCAGGATGAGGCAAGGCCTGCCAGGCCTGTGGATAACCGTGCCCCCATGCTCCTCTGCTCGCCACAGACATCCTCACTCCTACTCATTACACAGGAAGTATCACTGCTGGGCTGAACACAAGCCAGCTAGAAAACCAGGGCACTGACAGAAAAGATGTCTCCCATTACAGCAGTGCTGGAGTTGTCTTCAGTTAGGCCTGTCAGCCCATGGCAAAGGATGCTTGGCCTCTGCTTAGCCCACAGCATTGCCAGACTTCTCCATCTTCAGATTCACAGCAGAGCAGAGGACGGAGCACAGGCGTGACAATGGATGTTTCTTTGCAGCTGCTGTGTGGTATTGTTTCCACTGCAAAAGCCACAAAGTGCTGCAGTCATATACATTTGCTTTTGTTGCTTGCTCTCTCTTTGACTCTTCTGTTCTTTGTAATACACTAACCAATTTCCTCACAGGGAATGTAAGTATCATACTTACATTTCCATGTAAAGGTGACAGAATCCCACACATCTGAAGGCAGCATCTCAAGAGACAATAGTAGCTGTTCCCAGCTCTAAGTCTTCAACCTAGTGATAAACCAATAAACATTCCTGTCTGAGGCTAATAAGAAAAGAGAGTGTTATTAGGTCTAGAAAAGGAAGAGTACAAATACACTTAGTGCATTATTCTCAGGAAAGTCAGCACACAATAAGCCAGTGTGGATTTGTAGCCCATCTGATAATTTGCACCATCTCCCCTGGCATGAAGCTTAGATCATATTAAATGGCATTTGCATGGGACTCACTACTCTTCCCTGAAAGTATAGTCAGACTGCACTCACCACCACCTGAGACTCTCACCATGAAAGATGACAGGAGTCTTGCAAACTCACACCTCTCAATTTCTCACCAAGGCAGACCTCTAGTTAGGCATAGTTTGTGAGGAGAAGAACAATGTGATCTTGATTGTAACACTGGATGGGTAAAAATGTGTGGAGGCGAAGTTTTGGATAAGGCTAACCTTATAAGAATAAATTGCTTGCAAGAGGGACCAACCCTGAGTTTGCATCCTAGCCTGCAAGACTGACATGTGGGCTCCATCTGGGTTGCCATGGATTATAGCTGAGAGTTTCACATCGGCACATTCGCTTCTCCTTCAGCATAACTTTGGTGAACAGGGTGAATTGTGGGCACTGGCTGGAGTGGGGAAAAGCAAAGTTTTCCAAGCAAGAGGAGTTGCCCATGTACTGTGAAATGCTAGGGAACTGCTGGCTTCCACATACAGTTTTAGCCATTTGGGCTGATGAAAGCCACATATCCCATCCTCTTCATTTCTGCCTTACAGAGAGTCAAGAAAGGAAGAATTTCAGGTTGAAAGAAGCAGTACAAATATGAAGATAACTCAAAATAAAGCTTTGGCCAAAGGTTTGCCATGGATGCTGACTCAGTGGCTTGGAGCCCGTTATATGCAAACCGAGAGCACTGCTTTGCCTATGCACAGTGAAAATACTCCAAAGATAGTAACACACTCTGTTGAAAGGTCTGTATGCAGAAACTTTTTCATTCTTCTCTGAACAGAGGTAGGTGGAAGCTTTCAATCTGAGACTCATGCAGAACAGTCCTTGGCTGATTATTTGAAGAGAAATGGTTCCCTTGTGATGTCCGTAATACCACACCATCAGATGCAGATCTGCTCTCTCTCAGACTCATTTTCTTCCTTTCTATCTGTAAGCCTGAGTCCACAGCCAAACCTCACAAGATACACCCGGTTTCAGCCTGGTCTGAAGGAAAGGAACCTCCTTAGAGCAGTCTGACAATCTGCAGTTCACAACAACTGAGGCTAGAGCAGATGTCAGCACCCCATTAGACAGTTCCTCTTGCAGATGATGCATTTCAGTCTTGTTTATCTGATACTGATTTCCATCACCTATAATGATCCTAGAGTTAGGATCTAACATTCAGTGTCTTATTCCAGTAATTTCAGTGACACTACTACTGCAAAACATGTTGCAGTCCAAGCAAAAGTGTGTTGTCATGATGCAGTCAATCTGACTTACACAAGAAGTCAGATAGATGAACAGAACAGTGTCTTCCAGTCTCACATGAACATCTGTATTAACTACAG